CAAACCCAGCTACAATGTAGCAGTAGTGGCCTGAGAAAGAAAAACAACTCTCAATTACAGAGAGCCAAAGTTCCAGGCACCAGGCTGGGGGTTCTGTGTTTATTATTTCATTGAATCCTTGTAACCGGAGATAGGTAGACATTTTCCTTCTTAAGCTCCTACCTGAAGTTGAGAAAACCATGAAGGACACCAGGAAGAGAATTCACTCAGAAGGCAGGCCAAGTGACTATTTAAGAAGTACCTGTCTTTTAGTACTATTTTTTTTTCATTATTTACCATATTTTGACATTCTCATACTGCTGCTTGCCCGATTTTTCAAAAAAGTGAAATATTTAGACAAAGACTGTTGGTAGCCTTTTTAATTATGGAGTTTTGATGGCTATTTTGCAAGAGTTTAATCAAGGGGGGAACAAAAGCTTTATTAACCTGTTTTCTCACTCCCTTTATTTGCACTATATGTTTGTTTATTATCTGTTAGCACATACTCCTCATATGGTTTGAAATGAAAGGATGATCCATCTCCTCATTACCGATCCTCCGCTTGGTGATGAAAAACAAAACAAAACATATGAACAAAGGAAAAATGCCTTCCTGTCATTTCTCAGCCTTCTTTGCTGCTGCTCAGCTGGGCTGTTAAAGAGTGGGGTTTAATGAAAGAAGGTGAGAAGGTGACAAAAACCGCCCTAATGAGCATGTGTTTAGTTATATGGGAAGATCACGGAGAAGCGGCAGTGATTTTCTTTGTGCCTGACATAACACAGTGTTCCCCAAGGTCAAGGAAGCCTATCGTCCTTCCTTCTTCACCTATTCATTCCCTACCCTGGCAACCAGCTTCTCCACCTAGACCAGATTTCATTTTTGATGGTGGAGTTAAAAAGAATGTCATTTTTCATCTCCAGCTTGTAGCTCTTGCTAAACATGCAGAACTGGTGCAGGAGGTTCTATAGGTTACCTGCATCACTGGTAGAGCATCTTATGAGCAAGCATTTCAGATCTCAAGCCTGGGATGACAGAGCCCCAGCCGTGTCCATCCGCAGCTTGCTGACACTTACCCTTTAGACTGGGAATGAGGAAGCAAATTCCCATCTAGCACTGAAAAACAAAATGTTTTAATGCTTCAGAGGAGAGCCAATAATAGCTGTCGAACTCTAAAGCAAGGCTCCGAATTAGAACGAAATCGTGCCGTCATAATATCATTCCCAAAATGTCTTTAATCAGCGAGCATTCCAGCCCTGTGGTGTGAGCGTCACACTGAAAATACCAAAGAAAACATGAGGGTCAAACTTGGATAGAGCTCTCAAAACTGAGAGAGAGTGATGTTTTTGCTTCACCAGTTCCCAAACCAGGAAATCATTACTCCTCAGTCCCAACAGACCACTCCTGTGGGGAGTGGGAGAGAGAGGCATGGCCAACCATAAGTAAAAAAAAAAAAAAAGAAAAGAAACCTCGAAGTACAGCTCCTTTAGGATCAACAGCTATCTCAGGGAGGCAGGGCATGCTTCTCTAATGTTCTATGTCCAGTAAAACTATTAACGTTTTGGCAGAAATAAATTGAGATCTCTCTCTGAAGTTGAAATACGCAGCCTTAACTGCGCTCTCATCCTCTACGTTTCACTGAGTGAATAACCTAAATTACACAGAACGGCAGTAAATTGGCTCATCATAGCCCTGTTCTAATTTTAAAAGGATAAAGAACTAAAAAACGAGACAGCCTCACATGTAGCAGTGCAGGGACCAGTAATGCTCATTAAAGGGCTGCCATACTCTTTCCCCAGACGGTCGTGGGTTCAAATTCAACCTGGGTTTGTGGTGACCAAGAAGCACCCAATGTCTTGTGTTGAATGTACGTGTGCTTCCGCATGATGTTCTTAATAGGGATGCTGATAGCTTGCATCTGTCCCTCTCGCTGACTCTCTCAGGAGTACAGTGGCTGGCCAACCACGTGTGGAAACCAAGTCATTTCCTCCCATTTAGAGGTGATCCTTGCATTGGGTGAACTCCGAGCCTCTAAAAAGCATCTTGCTTTCACACTGTTTGCTGTCTGCTCCTCTTCCAGCTCTGAAGGAAAAGTATAGCAGCCCTTTGACTGGGGGCGGCAGTGGCGGGGGGGCGTTGTCTAACATCCTGATGGGCCCAGGACAGACTTTAAATTTTAAACATGTTCAAGCATGCCCACAAGAACTGCATTTTTCAAACAACAAAATAACTCTCTCAGTTTCAACAAAGCTTTCACATGTGGTGATAAAATGCCAGGTCACAAGTCAAATTTTGACTCCATTACTGAGCATTATCCTTGAGCTCTAAATGGAAAGTCAGTACAATTCACCAGCTGTCAGGCTCCAGCCCTCGCCCAGCCCTGAACAACAACAGAATCACAGGCGAAATAGTTATAGCTGCTGGAGTCACTACTTGATTAGACTCTTAATGATTGGCTCTGTCCACAGGGCACTTCAGCCAGTCACTCAACAAATAGACTTCAAGCTATTTGGATCCCAGGTTTCTGTTTGGAATTTCATAGAATTCAGTGAAAAAAAAATCCACCATCAACCAAAAGAGATTCAGGATGACTCAGAGACCCTTAAAGTAATTAGATTGTTCATTTTTATGAAAAAGCAAAAGTTGGTGTGAATAAGTTGAGATACGACATTTCCATGGAGTACCTTTCGTAGGTTGCAAATGATTTCCACCTTTAGATTTGATATTGAACACCAAGGGGTATGTTGATGAGTGGGAGAATGTCCTATCAGGGGTACCCCTGGGGTGTGTCGGAATTGTGGATGGGAGGGATCCTAAATACTTGGACCACCCCAAGAGCCCAGATCACCAGCCTGCAGGGAAGAGTGGCAGTGCCCATGTGAAATCGTGTTGCTGGAAAGCCTCCAGTTTTCCTGTCGCCTGAAAGATGTGCTCATCATAGCAAGAAGACCTACCTACATCCTTTCTTTTAATGGCTAGCAATCCTTTGAACCTAGGCTACATGAAAGTGGCCACACTTTGAAGTTGGTGTCAAGTCACCAACTCACTTGGGAAATTAGAGTCTGGGAGTCACAAGGAGGGCAAAACTGTGACTATGTCCTCCTGCCAAGGGTGTAGGTGAAGGTAAAAATCTAACCACCATGACCCCTAAAAGAAAAAAGAATCAACAGATGCTGAAGCCTCCCTACCCCGCCTTTTACATCTTTAGATGAAGCTGTCTCCCCAGTGGAGGCAGGCTGAAGATGCTTTCCTCTGCTGTGGGTAGAGCCTGCACCAAGCATCCGGTTCAATGCCCAGTGCTCATCCCACATCTACCCACATGTCAGTTATTCTTCCATCTATAGATGGGTCCGTCAGATCTTCGTTTATAACCTATTCCATCTACCCACCTACTAGAAATCGATCATTTCAGCTGTGGATTCTTAAATGGCTATTCCCTGGTGGGGAAATGGGAAATAATATTTCTAACCTGAAGCGATCTGGGGAGATTTTCGAAGACTGAACTAGCACTCTGTAGGAAACCTATGACTGGCCTGATGTTTCCAAAAGGCACTTACTGCCCCAGGGTTCTGGACTCACCACCCTCCGGCTTCCTCCCCACCAATTTCCCCTCTTCCTTCTGAGGCTGGTTTTTCCGGATTCTTCCCACGTAGTCCAAATATGGGGCCCAGATGTTACGAGTGCTGTTGGGCTCTGGCCTGGGGGAGAGGAATGTGGAGGTCGCTACGGGAGGGCGTGCGGAATGAGGACTGGGGCGGAATTTGCTGGATCCCTGGCGAGGTGTGATAAAATGAACGCTGAGGCAACCGCGGAAAGGAGGGCTGGGAAGCGAACCAAGTGCCTTCGGCAGGGTTCCTGGGGCCCGGAGTGACGTGGCTCCCTCCATCAGGTGGAAACCGTGCAGTTCTCCCTCGACCCAACTCACGAGAGATAAAGATGTCTAAACAACCCCCAGCGCCGCCGCCGCCGCAACTCTGCCTGGGCCCCGGAGGGAGGGGGAGCGCCTTTTCTGCTGAAGCAGCGACTAGGGCTTGTTTGTAGGTTCGCAATTCACCATGATAAATGTAAAGACCAATTAAGGTTTGATCCGTGCACACGGGAGGCAGACGGCGGCTGATAGTGGAACCAATTAACGAGCATGTACCCTAATTCCTGTCGCGGCCACCGGGCGCACCGCCGTTCCCCAGGCGTCTGCGGCGGCTGTCCCCGAGCCCCCATGCGCCTCCCGCCTGGCCCTGGAGGGGGGCGTCCTCCTCGTGCGGGAGGTGCGAGGAGCTGGGTCCCCCGGCGGCTGGGGAGGGGGCGCGCGGGACAGCAAGGCGCAGAACCAGCCGCCTACGGAGCCCAGCTGCTTGTAGCCGGGGCGCGCGGGTGGGGCGCGCCCGAGTGGTCCGCGTCGGGCGGGGGCGGCGGGGGCTGCAGAAGGCGCCCAGTGCGAAACCAGCGGGTGCCCCGAGGGCGGAGGACAGGTGGTGGCGTGGCCACCGCCAGGTAGCAAACTGCTCGGGGGCTGCGCAGCGAGGTTCCAACGCTTCGCCCGCCTCCGGGCCTGGCTCACTATTGCCCGCCGCAATTGCCCGGGGGCGTCCTGGGGCAAGCTGAACGGCCGGTGGCGGCACCCCCGGCCCGGCGCGCCTCGGCCTCTCGCCTCCTGCTCCCCTCTCCCTTCCCGCTCAGCCAGCTGCCCCAGACGTGACCCCCGCGCAAGGTGTTGGCGCTGCGCGCAGCCGGGGCGCGCGTGATTAATGGCCCCGAGGTCGGGGGCGGCGCAGGCACGAGCCCCTTCTTGGCTCGGCCCGGGTGTGAGGGTATCCGGGAGGAAAGCCAGGTCCTGGCAGTGGGAGCCCCCGGGACCGCGGCGGCGACGGCGCAGGAGGAGGAGGAGGAAGAGAAGTAGGTGACGCGGGCCGGAGAGGCTTGTCCCCTCCGGCCCCAGGGCCTGCGCCACGGCATGTCCCCCGCGCCAGCAAAGTTTGAAGCCACGGGTGCCGCGCTGCGCGGTGCGCGGGTCCCTCCCCGCGCAGTTCCCTCGGTGGGGTCTGTGCCGCCGCCGCTGCCAGGGCAGGACAAAGGCTCATTAGCACGTGATGGGACCGCGCTTCATAAATGGGACTGGAGCGAGAGGGAGCCAGAGACAGAGCGCCCGCGGAGGCAGAGGCAGGGACCGCACGAGCGTGGCGAGACGACGGGCGCCAGTGCTGGCGGAGATCTGCGGCCCCACGCCGAGCCAGGCGGGGCGAGCGGGAGGACCCACTGAAGAGCCCGGGGAAGGGGCGAGGCTCGCGGGAGGACCCACTGAAGAGCCCGGGGAAGGGGCGAGGCTCGCGGGCGGCGGGAGCGGAGGGGTCGCCAGTCCCGGTCGCTGTCGCGGGCGGGCGGGCGCTGGAGGCAGGGGACGCCGGCGCGCGGGCAGCGTGGACCGACTGACTTACTGACCGACGGACGGAGGCACAGCCCGCTCCACCCCACCCCACCCCGCCCCGCCTCGCCTCGCCTCGCCCGCATCCCCGCGCCGGCGCCGCCTCCCTCCGGCTAATCCCTCGGCCACCCCTTCCTCCTGCACTTCTTTTCCGCCTCCGCCTCTTCTTGGCTCCCGCGGCGCCAGTGCCTTCCCCTGGCCCGGGCGGGGCGCCTCGGCTCTCGGCAGAGCTCCGTAGAGTCGGGCGGAACGTTTCGTTCTAGCAGAGAAGCAGCCCCTGCGCTGGGCAAGAGGTGCCGAGGGAGCTTCTCCCCGAGGACCGGGGGATGCGAAGGGTAAGACCTGGCAGGGTTGCGTTTGGAAATACTTTTTCCGCCTCCCGCCCCCTCGGGTACTGACCAGTGTAGTCCCCAAGTGTCCTTCGTGGAGTTCTTATTCCGTGTGAGCGAATCGTGCGTCGATGTTTACTTAGCTGTATAGCCCCAGCATGTAAACTGTGGTCTGTGCTACTTCTGGAGGTTTCTACCATTTACTACTTATTGAATGTGTGGGCACCCCTGGGTACACTGATGTGTGTTTGTAGAAAACGTGTAATTGTGCATGTTTGAAAAAAATAGGCGCTTGAGTTGGTGCTGAATGTCTATAAACCATATCAGCAACTAAGTGTTCCCAAATACATCGATCTCTGCACCAAACCTAGAAACTGTCTAAAATATTAAATGTCATATAAAGAAATGTATGTCAAATAATAAACTTTTGGTGTAGAAAATATAGCTGCAGGAGCCACTCTTTTAGAGGAAAAGTAAATGTACGTTTAACATCTAAATTTGAATGTTGATGGAACCATTTAATCCAGAACTAGCCATTAGATGAAAAAAGTTGCTGTGTTTTTGAAAGATATTTCTCGGTAAGGCTCACAATCATAAATGGATCTCCTCGCCAGTGCAAATGTTTGCAGTGACAGACACGAGAAACTGTCGTTTGGTCATTTGAAAGTTTGAAAGCAACATGCATGCTTCTAATTTTAGTTTTAAATTGAACAAATGAGAAAAAAAATAGTAATCCGTTAATCATTTTGCCTCCCATCTTTTTTATTTACCTTCAAATTAAGTGCTAGTCTTGTCTTTGTTGTTGCTTCTTGATACATTAAGCATCCTTGGGCATTTAATAAGAGATTAGAACAGATTTACTGGTTTTAAAGGTGTTGAAAGATCTCTCTGTGGGTCCCCTAACTTCTCATTTTTTATTACCGAATTAATATCTTTTCAACAATGGGGGAAATGCAATTTCTTAGCATAAACTCAGTGAACATTGAGTTGTCAGGGGGGTGACCACTGCCATCAATCTATTTTGCAGAATACTGAGAAGCTCAGAGCAACTAACCTTTAAGGTTCCCATAGGACTTTATCTGATTTAAAGTGTTGCTTTTCTAATGCTACCCTACTGACAGTTTGCAAGGGAAGATACACTGATTGATTTTTCTCTGTCCCTTCCCCCCCTCTGCCCCTCCCCATCTCTAACTCAGTTAAAAGCAATTTTATCAAAATAAAAGGCCATGCATAGTTTCTTAAGTGAGACAAATAATTTTCTGATTATATCCATAGATGAACAGCATCCACACACCTCCAGATTTTTAAATGTTGCATACTACAAGAGGTTACTTGTAGGCACAATAGCAGTTGCTGGGCAAGAGGCAAGAGGATGGACGTGGTTTTTAAAAAACTAATCCATTTTAGGTTACCAAGAGAACTTACTGTAAACAGATTCTTTTTGTTCCAAAGATGTCTCCCACTCCAGGCAAGGAGCAATCCTGGCTGAGGTATGTATCAAGTGTCTGATGGGCAAAGGTCTCATTGTGTTCCTAAGTCTCTGTGGGGGTAAAGTGATGCCACAGGGAGAAAATGCTCAGTTCTGACCTTTCAAAAATAAAATTACTATGCTTGCATACTCATTGTTAGGAAGGCAAATTAGATATTCACACCCCCCCCATTTTAATAGATAGCTTCGATATAGATGCCTATGAAAAGAACGTTATGCCTAGTCCCTGAAATAAACCATAGATGATATTATTTAATTTGGTGTGTAAAGTTTTACATTTTGGTGAAAATCTGATTTCACGTTGGAGTAGAGCTCGGCTTTGTTTGTTATCCACTGTTTTCTGTCTTTTTCTGTTACCCTTTTCCCAGTGGACTCCATGCCTCCCTGTCGCGTGTGAGATCGTTCCTCTCTAATAAGCCGAGCTGCGGGATCAGTGTGTTCTTTTTGGCATTTCAAAATGTTAAAATAGTGAAATTGTTAAATGTTACCAAGATGAAACTGCTGGGAATGAAATTTCTCTGGAAGAACCACTCTATCTGTGGCATATTACAGTCTATTCCAAAAGAAAACTCCTGGATTTGGTCTACCTATTTTCTCAGGAAAGAAGCAGCCCCATTGATTGTGTTGATGAGTATTTAGTATGCAGTGTCAGCTTATTAATTACCAAAGCAAAAGCCTGAAAAACTCTTTCCAAACAATCTTGTGATATTCTACTTTGCTTTGACTCAAAATTAACATGAACCACCAGGAAATTTAGACAGGCTCCTTGGTTGTCTTGCATATTAGTGTTTGGAAGTAGAATTGGAATACTTGGCTGTTGAAGAAAAAACTATGATGAAATGGAACTTATAATAGCAGTTTATAGATCACCATGCTTACCAAATGTTTCTTCCCAGAAAACAGTTGGCCTAATAAGAGAAGGGATTATTTCCCATAATTAGCTCTCCAGGAATGCTGCAAAAAAAAAAAAAAAAAAGTAATAAATTGAATTTGGAGATACCTAACAACATGTGATGAGTGAAACGAGATTTGGTTATAGCATCTTGAATTTGGTTAGTCAGATGGAGCCTGTCCTTGAGGTTGCTGACTGTTATTCTTGGGGTAATTATGTTAGCTCAGTTGCCTGAAGAACACAGATGAGAGCTTTCGTTCCAGGAAAAAAAAGGATGCTGTGTCTTCACCAGTGTAATCTGTCTCTTCTGTTTTAGTGTTCATCATTTTCTAATTGAACTGACAAATTAGTTAGAGGGAAACCAGCCTTTGGGTTTAAATTATTTATAATTCTGCTTTTGCCTCTGAAAAGACCTGGACCCAACATTGTTTGAAAAACTGCTGGGGCCAAGCTTACGTATTGCCTATCTATATTTTGAGGGACTGCAAGCTCTGCTGGTTTTTCTTTTCTTGACTGAAGATGGGTAGAGAAGCTAAAGAATAAGAGGAAATCAAAACCAATTGATATACTTTGTATTGGCAAAATTTTAACTTCATGACCCCCCCCCCATCTCCAGCGCTTTCTTAGTTCTTCTCTCATAGCGATATTCACTTTCGATTATAACTGCATGAACGTTGTTTCTGAGGGCTTGGGGGATACAACACGTTGCCACTGAATTGTTATTTAATGTTTTTGATAATCATTTAATTCACTGATCTGTATCTGCTTAGATTAGAATGGGGTAACTATATAACACATTATAAATCAACTCAGACTACTCCCAGATATGTTCTGGACTAAAAGAAAGAATAAATGTCACCCAGAAAATATATAACATCAAATTATATACTGTACAATTTTAGATGTTTGGGATATATAAACACACTTGTATACATATATGAACAAACTTCTTCATAGATGTGTATCATGGCTGACATAAATATTTAGACCCATTGTCTTTATATATCTGAATATATAATTCAGATTTTAAATAAATACTACAAACTTGGGGAAATGTCCAAATTCAAGGCAGCTGTGCAGATGGACACAGAAGACTCAAGGCAAAAGAAGTATCCACCTTGCATTAAACAAGGCTGTTCTGATTTTCCAGGGTAGTGGAAATCTGTTCCTGTCTCACGTGTCATAAGAACCTTGCAAAGATGATAGGACGGGCATAGCTACGTTTGATTATAGTTTTCTCATCAACACTGATTGATGTGTTTAATACAGTTGTCACCAATCCTGCTAGTTGTTTATTATTTTTGGAAAGAAAGTTGGGAGAAAAAAATACAAGGTTATTTCTCTATCACAGGATGCATATTAATATCAGTATCTGTGAAATATACAGCACATTATAGTGCCATCACAAATAAGTTAAAACTATAAGAAATATGTGAGGGGGAAGGGGAAGGTTGTTTCTAGTGGTTTTCCGGTCCCTCTCTTGGTCCTACTCAACAAGTTTGATGTTGGAGGAACCCCGCTCTCGAACAGGCCTGCGTGGGTGAGGGGTATGTTTATGACCTATCAGTGATAATAGGTCAAAGCCATTACATAAAGTAATCTGTGATTACCTCTAGTTCTTAACAGAAAATATTTACTAAAATCTTTCCTGGGTCCTATTTCTTCACTGAAAGGGTGCCTCGTGGAAAGTAAAGTACCCTTCATTATAATAGTTTTTCTAGCACAGTTGCCATTACAAATATATTCTTGAGCTAGTTTTCATTGATATTTCCCATATATTTGAAGTATTTCCCGTATGGATTATTAACAGATAACTTCTGGATACCCTCTCATTTAAAGGTTCATTTAAATGAACCTTAATTTCATAATGTAGTGAGCACGAGGTTCATTGCTGTGCTTGTATGGGTTTCCGAAGGAAGAATTGTTTACTCACCAAACCTGAGCAAATGGGCCTGGCAGAGTCCTAGCTGTTGTTCTGAAATACTAGAAATTCTGCTGTAGCCCCAGCTGGAGAAATGTTCACACCTGCACTTTAGGAAAGCTTTCAAAATGTTGCTTTGTTTGTTTTGCTTTCTTTTGTTTTGGAATATGTGAGTTGAGACTAGTTAGATGGGACTTGATAATGCTTAGCCAACTCTTTTTTTTTAACCTATTGTGCTATTATTGCATTATATTCTGTAGTTTTGAATGAGCTTCTTAAGGTAGATTTTTCATCTTTTGAACGCAACAAAGGATTTAAGTTCCCTTTTCTCCTAACACAGACGGTAAATCATTTTTCCCTAAGAGCACAATATTTTATTATCTAATTCGTATTTTTCCCCTCGAGTTTGGATTCTTAATTGTGTAGAGTTTGGATTCATTGAGTAGAAATTTGATATCTTTGGCTTGACTCCTTACCATCATTATCAACTCTGAAAAGCATTTAAAATTTGTTTTTGACTTCAGGAGATAAAGTGCAGTATAGTTTCCTAAATTTGACAATGTAATATGTATTTTTTTTTATTCCTACTAGCAAATTCCATGCTATTGCTTTTTAAAGAAAAGCAGAGGCATTTTTCAAAGATGTGCCAGGCAATCTGTTGTGGTAGTTGAATATACTGGCAAATGCTTTCACAAACTGTGTAT